GTAAATTCTAGATTCAATAGTTGCTCTTCGAAAGATTCGTCCAGTCGTCTGTTCTTGAAGAACAAGCAGGAATGCTGCAGTGTAAATTCAAGATTCAATAGTTGCTCCAAAAGATCGTCGTGTTCTTGAATAACAAGCAGGAATGCTGCAGTGTAAATTCTAGATTCAATAGTTGCTCTTCGAAAGATTCGTCCAGTCGTCTGTTCTTGAATAACAAGCAGGAATGCTGCAGTGTAAATTCTAGATTCAATAGTTGCTCTTCGAAAGATTCGTCCAGTCGTCTGTTCTTGAATAACAAGCAGGAATGCTGCAAATTCAAGATTCAAATTGCTCTTCGAAGATTCAATCGTTGTTCTCAAGCAGGAATGCTCGAAATTCTAGATTCAATAGTTGCCAAAGTCGTCTGTTCTGTTCTTGAATAACAAGCAGGAATGCTGCAAAATTCTAGATTCAATAGTTGCTCTTCGAAAGATTCGTCCAGTCGTCTGTTCTTGAATAACAAGCAGGAATGCTGCAGTGTAAATTCTAGATTCAATAGTTGCTCTTCGAAAGATTCGTCCAGTCGTCTGTTCTTGAATAACAAGCAGGAATGCTGCAGTGTAAATTCTAGATTCAATAGTTGCTCTTCGAAAGATTCGTCCAGTCGTCTGTGTTCTTGAATAACAAGCAGGAATGAAAATAACAATAGTTGGAATGATTCGTGCAGTCGTAAAACAAAGCAGGAATTGTAAATTCTAGATTCAATAGTTGCTCTTCGAAAGATTCGTCCAGTCGTCTGTTCTTGAATAACAAGCAGGAATGCTGCAGTGTAAAATTCTAGATTCAATAGTTGCTCTTCGAAAGATTCGTCCAGTCGTCTGTTCTTGAATAACAAGCAGGAATGCTGCAGTGTAAATTCTAGATTCAATAGTTGCTCTTCGAAAGATTCGTCCAGTCGTCTGTTCTGAATAACAAGCAGGAATGCTGCAGTGTAAATTCTAGATTCAATAGTTGCTCTTCGAAAGATTCGTCCAGTCGTCTGTTCTTGAATAACAAGCAGGAATGCTGCAGTGTAAATTCTAGATTCAATAGTTGCTCTTCGAAAGATTCGTCCAGTCGTCTGTTCTTGAATAACAAGCAGGAATGCTGCAGTGTAAATTCTAGATTCAATAGTTGCTCTTCGAAAGATTCGTCCAGTCGTCTGTTCTTGAATAACAAGCAGGAATGCTGCAGTGTAAATTCAAGATTCAATAGTTGCTCTTCGAAAGATTCGTCCAGTCGTCTGTTCTTGAATAACAAGCAGGAATGCTGCAGTGTAAATTCTAGATTCAATAGTTGCTCTTCGAAAGATTCACCCAGTCGTCTGTTCTTGAATAACAAGCAGGAATGCTGCAGTGTAAATTCTAGATTCAATAGTTGCTTTCTTCGAAAGATTCGTCCAGTCGTCTGTTCTTGAATAACAAGCAGGAATGCTGCAGTGTAAATTCAAGATTCAATAGTTGCTCTTCGAAAGATTCGTCCAGTCGTCTGTTCTTGAATAACAAGCAGGAATGCTGCAGTGTAAATTCTAGATTCAATAGTTGCTCTTCGAAAGATTCGTCCAGTCGTCTGTTCTTGAATAACAAGCAGGAATGCTGCAGTGTAAATTCTAGATTCAATAGTTGCTCTTCGAAAGATTCGTCCAGTCGTCTGTTCTTGAATAACAGGAATGCTGCAGTGTAAATTCTAGATTCAATAGTTGCTCTTCGAAAGATTCGTCCAGTCGTCTGTTCTTGAATAACAAGCAGGAATGCTGCAGTGTAAATTCAAGATTCAATAGTTGCTCTTCGAAAGATTCGTCCAGTCGTCTGTTCTTGAATAACAAGCAGCAACGCTGTAGTGTAAATTCTAGATTCAATAGTTGCTCTTCGAAAGATTCGTCCAGTCGTCTGTTCTTGAATAACAAGCAGGTATGCTGCAGTGTAAATTCAAGATTCAATAGTTGCTCTTCGAAAGATTCACCCAGTCGTCTGTTCTTGAAGAACAAGCAGGAATGCTGCAGTGTAAATTCTAGATTCAATAGTTGCTCTTCGAAAGATTCGTCCACTCGTCTGTTCTTGAATAACAAGCAGGAATGCTGCAGTGTAAATTCTAGATTCAATAGTTGTTCTTCGAAAGATTCATCCAGTCGACTGTTCTTTCAATAGGTCAAAGATTCGGAATGCTTGATGCAGTGTAAATTCTAGATTCAATAGTTGCTCTTCGAAAGATTTACCCGTCCAGTCGTGCTGTTCTTGAATAACAAGCAGAAATGCTGCAGTGTAAATTCTAGATTCAATAGTTGCTCTTCGAAAGATTCCCCAGTCGTCTGTTTGAAGAACAAGTTGGAATGCTGCAGTGTAGATTCAATATTCAATGTTTTCAAAAGATTCATCCAGTCGTCTGTTCTTGAAGAACAAGCAGGAATGCTAAAATTCTAAATTCAATAGTTGTTCGAAAGATTCTATCGTTCTTCTGAATAACAAGCAGGAAAGCATACAGTGTAAATTTAGATTCAATAGTTGCTCTTCGGAAGATTCGTCTTTCTGTTCTTGAATAACAAAGGATGAGTGTAAATTCTGTATTCAATAGTTGTCTTCGAAAGATTACCCTCCAGTCGTCTGTTCTTGAATAACAAGCAGGAATGCTGCAGTCTAAATTCTAAATTCTAGATTCTTCGAAAGATTCGTCCTGTCGTCTGTTCTGAAACTAGCACTGTGATGAAATTCTAGATTCATAGTTGCTCTTCGAAATATTCACCAGTCGTCAGTTCTGAATGAAGCAGAATGCTGCAGTGTAAATTCTAGATTCAATAGTTTGCTCTTCCGAAAAGATTCGTCCAGTCGTCTGTTCTTGAATAACAAGCAGGAATGCTGCAGTGTAAATTCTAGAGTTCTTCGAAAGATTCCATCCAGACGTCTGCCCTTGAAAAGAACGTGTGCTATGGAAATGCTCAATAGTTGGGATTTTCGCAGATTAATCCAGTCGTTGCTCATTCTAAATTGTCCTCTTCCGGAGTCGTCTGTTCTTGAAGAAGAAGCAGGAACGCTGCAGTGTAAATTCTAGATTCAATAGTTAAGATTCACTCCAGTCGTCTGTTCTGAATAACAAGCAGGAATGCTGCAGTGTAAATTCAAGATCAATAGTTGCTCTTTCGAAAGATTCGTCCAGACGTTCTGAATTCAGAATGCTGAAAATAATTCAAGCAGGAATCGTCTTCGAAGAACACCAGGAATGCAGTGTAAATTCTAGATTGAATAGTTGCTCTTCGAAAGATTCGTCCAGTCGTCTGTTCTGAATAACAAGCAGGAATGCTGCAGTGTAAATTCTAGATTCAATAGTTGCTCTTTCGAAAGATTCACCCACTCGTCTGTTCATGGAAGAAACAAGCAGGAATGCTACAGTGTAAATTCTAGATTCAGTAGTTGTTTCTTCGAAAGATTCCACCCACTCGTCTGTTCTTAGAAGAAAAAGCAGGAATGCTGGTAAAATTTAGATTAATTGTTGCCTTCGAAAGATTTAATGAAATGGCTGTTCCAGGACAAGTATCGGATGCTAGTGTAATTTCATGATTCAATAATTGTAATTGAAAGGATTACCTCCCAGGTCGACTGTTCTTGAATTTAAGCAGGAATGCTGCGTCTAAATCGATTCAGATTAATGCTGCAGTCTAAAGGAATTCTAGATTCAATATTTCTTCGAAATATTCATCCAGATTTACGACTGTTCCTGTGGAACAAGCAGGAATGCAGTGAATGCTGATTCAATAGTTGTAAAAGATTCTAGATTTCTAGAATTTAGTTGGTCCTCGAAAGATTTACCAGTCGACTGTCGTCTCTTCTGAAGAAGAAGCAGGAATGCTGCAGTGAATTCTAAATTGCTCTTTCAAGATTCAATAGTTGTCCTTCCTAAGTACGCATGCTTCAGAAATTTAAAATTCAGTTACCTCTATAGATTACCAGTCGTTCTGTTCAATAGTTGAAGAACAAGCATTTTCGCACCTTCAATGGCTGCAGTGTAAATTTAAATTCAATAGTTGCTCTTCCTAAGATTCCCCAGTCGTCTGTTCTTGTAGGTCAAGTGCAGTGTAATGTAGTGAAAATTCTAGATTCCATAGTTGCTTTCGAATAGATTAATCCAGTCGTCTGTTCTTGAATAACAAACAGGAATGCTGCAGTGTAAATTCTAAATTCAATAGTTGCTCTTCGAAAGATTCCCCAGTCGTCTGTTCTTGAAAAACCTGCAAAATGCTGCAGTCTAAATTCTAAATTCAGTAGTTGCTCTTGGAAAATTCAACCAGTCGTCTGTTCTTGTCCCAGTCGTCTGTTCTTGAATAACAAGCAGGAATGCTGCAGTGAATGAGAAATGGAGATGGGAGAAAAAGTAGGAATGATGAATGCTGCAGAAAATTCAAAATGAGATGAGAGAAAAGTGGAAAGATGGTTCTTGAGAAAAGGAGATGACTGAATGTGGAAAGATGAATGCTGCAGATTCAAAGGTGGTTACATGAGAAATGGAGATGAGAGAAAAAGTTGAAAGATGAATGCAGTGAATTAGGTGTTAGTGTAATGAGAAAAGTGGAGATGAATGGAAGCTCTTCAAAGATTCATGAATGTGAATGCGAGCTATTAGGTGGTTAAACAAATGGAGATGAGAGAAAAGTGTAAATTCTGAATGCTGCAGTGCAATTGCTCCTGGTTAAATGAGAAATGGAGATGAGAGAAAAGTGGAAAGATGAATGCTGCAGAGCAATCTAGGTGGTTAAATGAGAAATGGATCTTGGAAAGAAGAAAAAGTGGTTAATCTATGGAATGAGAAAAATTAAAGATGAATGCTGCATAAATTAGCAAAAAATGAGAAATGGAGATGAGAGAAAGTCATGGTGAATGAATCTTGGAAGAGAATTAGGTGGTTACAAAAGAAATGGAGATGAGAAAAAAGTGGAAGATGAATGCTGCAGTGCAATTGGAGATTGGAATGATTCTGCAGTGCAATTAAAAATGTTACATGAAAATGGAGATGAGGGAAAAAAGATGGAAAAGATGAATGCTGCAGAGAAAGGTGGTTACAAAAGAAATGGAGATGATGAAAAAGTGGAAAGAAAAATGCTGCAGTGCAATTAGGTGGATAACATGAGAAATGGAGATGAGACAAAAAATGGAAAGATGAATGATGCAGAAGAAAAGATATGGTTCGTCTGAAATGAGAGAGAAAAGTGGAAAGATGAATGATGATGGGGCAGATTCATTGGTTACATGAAAATGGAGATGAGAGAAAAAAAGGAAAGATGAATGCTGCAGTGCAATTAGGTGGTTACATGAGAAATGGAGATGAGAGAAAAGTGGAAAGATGAATGCTGCAGAGCAATTAAAGGTTACATGAGAAATGGAAATGAGAGAAAAAGAAAAGATGAATGCTGCAGGAAATTAGGTGGTTACATGAGAAATGGAGATGAGAGAAAAGAGAAAGATGAATGCTGCAGATTCAATAAAAGGTTCTGAGAAATGGAGATGAGAGAAAAAGTGGAATGAATGCTGCAGTCTATTCTGGTTACATGAGAAAAGGATGATGAGAAGTAAATTCTGGAAAGATGAATGCTGCAGAGCAATTAGGTGGTTCACATGAGAAATGGAGATGAGAAGAAAGAATGAATGGAATGAAAATGGAGATTCAGTGCAATTGGAGATGGTTACATGAGAAATGGAGATGAGAGAAAAGTGGAAAGATGAATGCTGTTCTGGGATTAGGTGGTTACATGAGAAATGGAGATGAGAGAAAAGTGGAATGAATAGATGCTGCAAAGTGATGAAAGGGAAATGGAGATGAGAGAAAAGTGGAAAAGATGAATGCTGCAGTGCAATTAGGTGGTTAAGAAGGAGAAATGGAGAGAGAGAAAGGGAAATTGAATGCCGGTGCAATTAGTGGTTACATGAGAAATGGAGATGAGAGAGAAGTGAGAAAAAAGATGAATGCCAGAGCACCAGGTGGTTACATGAGAAATGGAGATAGAGAGAAAGGGAATGAATGCTGCAGTGCAATTAGGTGGTTATAATACGAGAAATGGAGAGATGAGAGGAAAAAAAGGAAAAGATGAATGCTATGCAATTAGGTGTTATGAAGGAGAAATGGAGAAGGAGAGAGAAAAAGTGGAATGAATGCTGCAGTGCAAATTAGGTGGTTACATGAGAAATGGAGATGAGAGAAAAAGTGGAAAGATGAATGCTGCAGGGCAATTAGGTGGTTACATGGAGAAAATGGAGATGAGAGAAAAGGGAATGAATGCTGCAGGAGCAATTAGGTGGGTTGGCAGAGAAATGGAGATGAGAGAAAAAGTGGAAAGATGAATGCTGCAGTGCAATTAGGTGGTTACATGAGAAATGGAGATGAGAGAAAAGTGGAGATGAATGCTGCAGTGCAATTAGGTGGTTATATGAAATGAAATGGAAAAAGTGGAAAGATGAATGCTGCAGTGCAATTAGGTCAGTTACATGAGAAATGGAGATGAGAGAAAAAGACGAAAGATGAATGCTGCAGTGCAATTAGGTGGTTACATGAGAAATGGAATGAGAGAAAATTGGAATGAATGCTGCAGTGCAATCATCTAATGGAGATGAGAAAAAAGTGGAAAGATTCAGCTCAGTGCAATTGGGTGGTTACAGAAATGAGATGAGAGAAAAGTGGAAAGAATGCTGCAGTCTAAATTCTAGGTTCAAGAAATGGAGATGAGAGAAAAAAGTGGAAAGATGAATGCTGCAGTGCAATTGGGTGGTTACATGAGAAATGGAGAATGAGAGAAAAGTGGAATGAATGCTGCATTCAATAGGTGGTTACATGAGAAATGGAGATGAGAGAAAAAGTGGAAAGATGAATGTCTATTTTAGTAAATGAGGAAAAAGTAGGTGGTGCTGTATGAGAAATGGAGATGAGAGAAAAGTGGAATGAATGCTGCAGTGCAATCGTCTGTCAGATGAGAAAAAGTGGAGATGAATGCTGCAGTGCAATTAGGTGGTTACATATAGAGAAAAAAGTCAATGAATGCTGCAGTGCAAAAGGTGGTTACATGAGAAATGGAGATGAGAGAAAAAGCAAAGATGAATGCTGCAGTTCAATAGGTGGTTACATAAGGAGAAATGGAGATGAGAGAAAAGTGGAAAGATGAAATCGTCTGTGCAATGAATAACAAACAGGAGAAATGGAGATGAGGAAAAGTGGAAAGATGAATGCTGCAGTGCAATTGGTTACATGAGAAATGGAGATGAGAGAAAAAGTGAATGAATGCTGTTCAATTAGGTGGTTAAGAGAGATGAGAGAAAAAGTGGAAAGGGTGGTTTAGTGCAATTGTAAATTGGAGATGAGAGAAAAGTGGAAAGAATGAATGCAGTGCAATTAGGTGGTTAGAAATGAGAAATGGAGATGATGCTGTAGAGAAAAGTGGAAAGATCTTGATTCAAATGGAGATGAAAAAGTGGAAAGATGAATGCTCTTGCAATTAGGGTGGTTACATGAGAAATGGAGATGAGAGCGGAAAGATGAATGCTGCAGTGCAATTAGGTGGTTACATGAGAAATGGAGATGAGAGAAAAGTGGAATGAATGCTGCAGTGCAATTAGGTGGTTACAAGCCGAAATGGAGATGAGAGAAAAGTGAAAGATGAAGGCAGAGCAATTAGGTGGTTACATGGGAGAAATGGAGATGAGAGAGAAAAGTGGAAATGAATGAATGGTGGTTGGGCAAAATAGGTGGTGAGAAAAGGAAGATGAAATGTGGAGAGAATGAGAGAAAAAGTGAAAGATGAATGCTGCAGATACTAGGGTGGTTAAGTATGAGAAATGGAGATGAGAGAAAAGTGGAATGAATGCTGCAGTGCAATTAGGTGGTTACATGAGAAATGGAGAGAGAGAGAAAAGGAATGAATGCTGCAGTACAATTAGGTGGTTAAGATGAGAAATGGAGATGAGAGAAAAGTGAAAGATGAATGCTGCAGCAATAGGTGGTTACATGAGAAAATGGAGATGAGAGAAAAAGTGGAAAGATGAATGCTGCAGAGTAAATTAGGGTGGTTAAGTATGAGAAATGGAGATGAGAAAAGTGAAAAGATGAATGTAGTGCAATTAGTGGTTAGTATGAGAAATGGAGATGAGGAGAAAGTGGAAAGATGAATGTTGCAGCAATTAGGTGGTTACATGAGAAATGGAGATGAGAGAAAAGTGGAATGAATGAATAAGTGCAATTAGGTGGTTACATGAGAAATGGAGATGAGAGAAAAGTGGAATGAATGCTGCAGTGCAATTAGGTGGTTAGATGAGAAATGGAGATGAATGAGATTCAATAGTGGAAAGATGAATGCTGCAGTGCAATTAGGTGGTTACATGAAAAGATGAGATGGAAAAGATGAATGCTAGATTCAATTAGGTGGTTACATGAAATGGAGATGAGAGAAAAGTTGAAATGCTGCAGTGTGGTTACATGAGAAATGGAGATGAGAGAAAAGTGGAATGCTGCAGAGCAATTAGGTGGTTAAATGATTCAAATGGAGATGAGAGAAAAGTGGAAAGATGAATGCTGCAGTAACATTAGGTGGTTACATGAGAAATGGAGATGAGAGAAAAACTCTTCTGAAAGATGAATGCTGCAGTCGAATTACATTCATGAATAAGAGAAAAGTGGAAAGATATGCTGCAGTGCAATTGGGTGGTTTTGATTCTATGGAGATGAGAGAAAAAAGTGGAAAGATGAATGGAATGAATGCTGCACTAGGTGGTTACATGAGAAATGGAGATGAGAGAAAAAGGAAAGATGAATGCTGCAGTGCAATTAGGTGGTTAAGTATGAGAAAGATGAGAGAAAAGGAAGATGATGAGAGCAAAGGTGGAAGAAATGGAATGAGAGGAAAAGGAAAGAGAATGCAGTAATTAGGTGTGAGAAATGGAGATGAGAAAAAGGAAAGATGAATGAGAAAAGAGAAATGATGAATGGAATGAATGCTGCAATTAGGTGGTTACATGAGAAAGATGAGAGAGAAAAGTGGGAGATGAATGCTGCAGCAATTAGGTGGTTACATGAGAAATGGAGAGATGAGAAAAGTGGAAAGATGAATGGTAGTGCAATTAGGTGGTAAGATGAGAAATGGGATGAGAGAGAAAAAAGATGAAGAGAAGATGAGAAATGCTGCAGTGCAATTAGGGGTGGTTACATGAGAAATGGAGATGAGAGAAAAAGTGGAAAGATGAATGCCAGGCAATTAGGTATTACAATGAGAAATGGAGATGAGAAAAGTAATGGTGGTTTAGGTGGTTACATGAGAATGGAGATGAGAGAAAAGTGGAATGAATGCTGCAGTACTAGGTGGTTACAGGAGAAATGGAGATGAGAAAAGTGGAAAGATGAATGCTGCAGTATACTAGGTGGGTTACATGGAGAAATGGAGATGAGAGAAAGTGAGATGAATGCAGTAATTAGGTGGCATGAGAAATGGAGATGAGAAAAGTGAAAGATAACAGCAGAGTACTAGGTGGTTATATGAGAAATGGAGATGGAGAAAAGTGGAAATGAATGCTGCAGTGCAATTAGGTGGTTACATGAGAAAATGGAGATGAGAGAAAAAGTGAAAGATGAATGCTGCAGTGCACTAGGTGGTTACGTATGAGAAATGAGATGAGAAAAGTGAAAGATGAATGCCAGAGCACTTAGGTGGTTACATGAGAAAATGGAGATGAGAAAAAGGGAATGAATGCAATTAGGTGGTTACACAGAGAAATGAGAGGAGGAGAAAGTGGAAAGATGAATGCTGCAGAGCAAATTAGGTGGTTGGCATGAGAAATGAGATGAGAGAAAAGGAATGAATGCGCAATTAGGGGTGGTTACATGAGAAATGGAGATGAGAGAAAAAGTGCCAAAAAATGGAAAAGCGATGAGGTGGAAGAAAGAAATGGAATCACTGAAAAAGTGGAAAGATGAATGCCTAGAAAAAGCAAAAGTGGTGGTTACATGAGAAATGGAAAAGAAAAAAGTGAATGACTGAATGTGAGAGGAAATTGATGAGAAAAAATGAAAAAGCTGCAGAGGGAAGAAAAGAAGCATGAGAAATGTGGAGACGAATGAAAAAGGGAGAAATGGTGCCAAGAAAAAGAGAAAAAGTGAATGCTGCAGAAAAATAATGGTTAAGTATGAGAAAATGTATGAGAGAAAGTGCCAACAAAAACATGAGAAAATGAAAAGAGAAAAGTGAAAGATGAATGCTGCAGTGCAATTAGGTGGTTACTGAATGGAGATGAGAGAAAAGTGAAAGATGAAAAGTGATGATGGGGAAGAGCACTTAGGTGGTGAATGGAGAAATGTGGAGACAGAGAAAAGTGAAATGAAAAATGCAAAAAGTGGGGATGATGAGGAAATGAGATGAGAGAAAAGTAAAGTGAATCACTGAGGTGGTTGCATGAGAAATGGAGATGAGAAAAAAAAAAGATGAATGGATGATGGGGAAGAAAGATGAGAAATCACTGAATGCTTGAGAAAAAATTGTGGTTAAAACAAAAAATGAAAAAAGTGAGAGATGGCAGAGCAATTAGGTGGTTACTGAAAATGGAGAAATGAGAAAGAAAATGAATGCTGCAGAAAAAGTGAGAAATGATGAGAGAAAAAGTGGAAAGATGAATGCTGCAATTAGGTGGTTAGATGAGAAATGGAGATGAGAAAAAAGTGAAAGATGAATGCTGCAGAAAATTAGGTGGTTACATGAAATGGAGATGAGAAAAAATGAAATGAATGAATGCAGTGCAATTAGGTGGAATGGAGATGGAGATGAAAAGTGGAAAGATGAATGCTGCAGAGCAATTAGGTGGTTACATGAGAAATGGAGATGAGAGAAAAGTGGAAAGATGAATGCTGCAGAGCAATTAGGTGGTTTACATGAGAAATGGAGGAGATGAGAGAAAAAGTGGAAAGATGAATGCTGCAGTGCAATTAGGTGGTTACATGAGAAATGGAGATGAGAGAAAAAAAGTGGAAAGATGAATGCTGCAGTGCAATTGTGGTTATTAGAAATGGAGATGAGAAAAGTGGAATGAATGAGAGTGCAATTAGGTGTTACATGAGAAATGGAGATGAGAGAAAAGAATGAATGGTGCAGTGCAATGGAGGTGAGAGAAAATGAAAAGAAATGGAGATGGTGAGAAAATGAGATGAAAAAATGAATGCTGCAGTGCAATTAGGTGGTTACATGAGAAATGGAGAAGAAAGATAATGAAAAGATGAATGCTGCATACTAGGTGGTTACACAGAAATGTGGAGATGAGAGAAAAGTGAAAGATGAATGAAGAAAAGATGGTTAATGTTGAAAATGGAGATGAGAGAAAAAGTAATGAATGCTGCAGTGTAAAAAGTTAAAAGGGGAAATGGAGATGAAGAAAAGACAGAAAGATGAATGTGAGAGAAATTAGTGGTTAAATGGAGAAATGGAGATGAGAGAAAAAAAGATGAATGCTGCAGTGCAATTAGTGGAGATGAGAGAAAAGGAATGAATGCTGCAGCAATAGGGGTGGTTAAATAAAAAGGAAAAAGTGATGAAGGGGAAAGATGAAGAGGCAGTGCAATTAGGTGGAATGTAGAGAAATGGAGCCCAGAAAAAATGAATGCTGAAATTAGGTGGTTGGGTATGATGATGAGAAGAAAAGAAAGATGAATCACTGAATTAGAGGTTAAATGAGAAAATGAACAAGAGATGATGGGGAATGAAAGATAGTGAATTAGGTGAATGTAGAGAAATGTGATGAGAGAAAAAAAGGAAAAATGAATGATGGGAAAGAAAAGACGGTTATCATGAGAAATGGAGATGAGAGAAAAACAAAAAATGAAAAAAGTGATGAATTAGGAAGAAAAGATGAGAAATGGAGATGAGAGAAAAGTGGAAAAATGAAAAAGTGACAATTAGGAAGAAACATGAGAAATGGAGATGAGAGAAAAGTGGAAAGATGAATGAAATTAGGTGGTTACATGAGAAATGGGGAAGAAAAATAGAATGAATGTTGCACTGAATTAGGTGGTTAAGGAGAAATGGAGATGAGAGAAAAATGGAAAGATGAATGTTGCAGAAAGATTAGAATTACATGAGAAATGGAGATGAAACGTGGAAACAAAAAAATGAAAAAAGGTGATGAGAATGAAAAGAGAAAAGTGAAAGACTGAATGCTGAGTAGTAGGCCAAATAAAATGAAAAGGGAGATGAGGAGAAAAGATAAAGATGAATCACTGAATGTGCAATTAGGTGGTTACAAAAAAATGGGGAAAGAGAAAAAGGGAAAGAAAAGATAGTTAGGTGGGTTACACTGGAGATGAGAGAAAAGTGCCAACAAAAATGAAAAGAGAAAGGGAAGAAAAATGCTGCAGTAACAGAATATGAAGATGAGAGAAAGTGGAATGAATGCAACAAAATGAAAAAATGAGAAATGGGGATGAGAGAAAAGTGAATGATGAATGCTGCAGTGCAAATAAAAATGAAAAGGAGATGAGAAAAGATAATGAATACAGTACTAGGTGGTTACATGAGAAATGTGAGAAAAGATGAATAAATAAAAAGTAGAAAAGGGAGAGCAATGAATGAGAAATGAGATGAGAGAAAAGGAATGAATGTTGCAGAGAAAAGGTGCCACCAAAGGAAAAAGGATGATGGGAGAAGAAAGATGAATGAATCACTGAAGAAATGGAGAGAGAGAAAAGGAACAAAGTGCAGTGCAAAGGAAAAGTGAGAAATGGAGAAAAGAAAAGTGAAAGATGAATGTGAGAGAAATGCCTGGTTAAAGGAAAAGTGATGATGAGAGAAAAGTGGAAAAGATGAATTTTGAATGTAAATTAGGTAGGTTACAAAAGAAAAAGAGATGGGGAAGAAAAGATAATGAATACTGAAATTAGGTGGTTAGAGAGAAATGGAGATGAAAAAAAGGAAAAGATGAAATGCCAGAAAAGGTGGTTACAGTGAGAAATGAGAGAAGAAAAGTGGAATAATGCTGGTGCAATTAGGTGGTTAAAAGAGAAAAGGAGATGAGAGAAAGAAAAGATGAAGAAGCACTGAATTGGCATGAGAATGAAATGAATAAATAAAAGGTGAAAAGGAGAAATGGAGATGAGAGAAAAGGGAGATGAAATGCTGCAGTACTAGGTGGTTAAATGAGAAATGGGAGATGAGAGAAAAAGTGGAAAGATGAATGAGAGCAATTAGGTGGTTGGCAAAAATGGGAGAAAAAGTGAATGAATGGGAAGAAAAATTAGGTGGTCACATGAGAAATGGAGATGAGAGAAAAAGTGATGATGAATGAAAAGACAATGAATTACTGAGAAATGGAGAGAGAAAAATGAATGCCAACAAAAAAATGGAAAGTGATGAATGAATTAGGTGGTTAAGAAAATGAGATGAGAGAAAAAGTGGAAAGATGAATGCTGCAGAGAAAATACAACAAAATGAAAATGGAGATGGGGAGAAAAGATGGAAATGAATGGGAACTAGGTGGTTACATGAGAAATGGAGATGAGAGAAAAGTGGATGATGCTGCAGAGCAATTAGGTGGTTACATGAGAAATGGAGATGAAAAAAAGGGAAAGATGAATGCTGCAGAGCACTAGGTGGTTACATGGAGAAAATGGAGATGAGAGAAAAGTGGAAAGATGAATGCAGCAATTAGGTTAAGCATGAGAAATGGAGATGAGAGAAAAAGTGAAAGATGAATGCTGCAGTGCAATTAGGTGGTTACATGAGAAATGGAGATGAGAGAAAAGTGAATGAATGTTGCAGTGCAATTAGGTGGTTAAGTATGAAATGGAGATGAGAGAAAAGTGGAATGAATGCTGCAGTGCAATTAGGTGGTTACAAGAAAATGGAGATGAATGGAGAGCAATTAGGGTGGTTACATGAGAAATGGAGATGAGAAAGAATGAATGCTGCAGTGCAATTAGGTGGTTACAAGAGAAATGGAGATGAGAGAAAAAGTGGAAAGATGAATGCTGGTATAAATTAGGTGGTTGGGCATGAGAAATGAGGATGAGAGAAAAAGTGGAAATGAATGCTGCAGTGCAATTAGGGGTGGTTACATGAGAAATGGAGATGAGAAAAGTGGAAAGATGAATGCTGCAGTGCAATTAGGGTGGTTACATGAGAAATGGAGATGAGAGAAAAAGTGGAAAGATGAATGCTGTGCAACAGGTGGTTGGCATGAGAAATGGAGATGAGAGAAAAAGTGGAAAGATGAATGCAGTGCAATTAGGTGGTTGGGCACATGGAGAAATGGAGATGAGAGAAAAGTGAAAGATGAATGCTGCAGTAAATTAGGTGGTTGGCATGAGAAATGGAGATGAGAGAAAAGTGGAATGAATGCTGCAGTGCAATTTGGTTATTGAGGTTAAATGAGAAATGGAGATGAGAAAAAAGGGAAATGAATGCTGAGAATTAGGTGGTTATGAGAAATGGAGATGAGAGAAAAGTAAAGATGAATGCTGCAGAGCAATTAGGTGGTTACATGAGAAAATGGAGATGAGAGAAAAAAGAATGAATGCTGCAGTAATTAGGTGGTTACATGAGAAATGGAGATGAGAGAAAAGTGAAAGATGAATGCTGCAGAAAATTAGGCAGGTTACATGAGAAATGAGAGATGAGAGAAAAGTGGAATGAATGCCGCAATGCAATTAGGTGGTTAAAAAAAATGATGATGGAGAAAAGTGAGAGAAAAAGGTGGGAAAATGGAGATGAGATGCTGAATGTGAATTAGGTGGTTACATGAGAAATGGAGATGAGAAAAAGAAAAGTGGAAAGGTGGTTATGAATGAAAGAGAGTGAAAGATGAATAGGTGGTTATGTGAGAAAAAAGATGAGAGAAAAGGAAAATGAATGCTGCAGAGCAATTAGGTGGTTAAGTATGAGAAATGGAGATGAGAAAAAGGGAATGAATGCTGTGACTAGGTGGGTTATGAGAAAATGAGATGAGAGAAAAGTGGAAATGAAAAGCAAAAGTGATGGTGGGGAATGAAAAAGAGAATTACTAGGAAGATGAGAGAAAAAAGTTGAAAGATGAATGCTGCAGTGAATTAGGTGGTTACATGAGAAATGGAGATGAGAGAAAGGGAAGATGAATGCAGTGCAATGAGAGAAATGGAGATGAGAGAAAAAGGAAATGAATGAGAGAAAGAAATGGAGATGAGAGAAAAAGTGGTTGGGATGAAATGAAACTAGGTGAGATGGGAGATGAGAGAAAAGTGAAAGATGAATGCTGCAGTGAATTAGGAAATGGTTGAATGCATGGTGGTTAGAAATGGAGATGAGAGAAAAAGTGGAAAGATGAATGCTGCAGAGCAATTAGGGTGGTTAATGAAAATGAGATGAGAGAAAAGTGGGAAGATGAATGCACTAGGGGTGGTTAATTAGAAATGGAGATGGTTGCAGAGCAATGAGAAAATGGAGATGAGAGAAAAGTGGAAATGAATGCTGCAGTGCAATTAGGTGGTTAACAAAAGAAATGGAGATGAGAGAAAAGAAAAATGCTGCAGGTGCAATGGAGATGAGGTGGAGATGAGAGAAATGGAGATGAGAAAAAATGAAAAAGATGAATGAGAAATGGAGAGCAAAAAATAGGGTTACATGAGAAATGGAGATGAGAGAAAAAGTGGAAAGATGAATGCTGCAGAGCAATTAGGTGGTTAGACATGAGAAATGGAGATGAGAGAAAAAAATGAATGGAATGGTGATGGTGGAGAAAAGGGAAAGAGAATGCTGCAAGAGAAAAATGGAGATGAGAAAAAGGGGAAATGGTGGTTACAAAGAAAAATGGAGATGAGAGAAAAGTGGAATTACTAGGAAAAATGAGAGAGAGAAAAGTGGAATGAATAAAAATGAAAAGGTGGTTATGAGAAATGGAGATGAGAAAAAGGGAATGAATGCTGCAGTGCAATTAGGTGGTTACAGTGAGAAAATGGAGATGAGAGAAAAAGGGAAAGATGAATGCTGCAGTGCAATTAGGTGAATACATGAGAAATGGAGATGAGAGAAAAAGTGGAATGAATGATTAGGGGTTACATGAGAAATGGAGAGAAAAGTGAAAGATGAATGCTGCAGAGCAATTAGGTGGTTACATGAGAAATGGAGATGAGAGAAAAAGTGAATGAATGTGTGCAGAGCAAATTAGGTGGTTACATGAGAAATGGAGATGAGAAAAGAAAGATGAATGCTGCAGAATTAGGTGAGAAGGAAATGGAGAAAGAAAATGAAAAGATGAATGCTGCAGGAAGAAAAGAAATGGAGATGAGAGAAAAGTTGAATGCATGAGAAAATGGAGATGAGAGAAAAGTGGAAAGATGAATGATGCAGAAGGTGGAAATTGAGAGAAAAATAGTATAATTAGAGATGAGAGAAAAAAGGGAAAGATGAATGCAGTGCAATTTAGGTGGTTACATGAGAAATGGAGATGAGAGAAAAGTGGAAAGATGAATGGTGATTACATGAAGAAAAGATTAGGTGGTTAATGAGAAATGGAGATGAGAGGTGTGTGGAAAATGTGCCAACAAAATGAGAAATGGAGATGAGAGGAAGAAAAGATGGAAAGATGAATGGGAGATGAGAGAAAAAAATGAATGTGTAAATTAGGTGGTTGGCATGAGAAATGGAGATGAGAGAAAAGTGGAATGAATGCTGCAGAGCAAATTAGGTGGTTAAAAGAGAAAATGGAGATGAGAGAAAAGTGGAAATGAATGTAGAAATGCCAACAACAGAAAAGATGAGAAATGGGGATGAATAAAATTAGGTGGTTAATGAGAAATGAATGTGAGAGAGAAATTAGGTGGTTAAATGAAAAATGAGATGAGAGAAGGAAAATGAATGCTGCAGATCACTGAATGGAGATGAGAGAAAAGTGGAATGAAATGAAATTAGTGGTTACATGAGAAATGGAGATGAGAGAAAAAGGGGGAAAGATGAATGCTGAAGAGAAATTAGGTGGTTACATGAGAAATGAGATGAGAAAAGGGAAAATGAAATGCAAAAAATGGAGAAAAAAGGAAAGATGAATGCTGACAATGGAGATGAGAGAAAAAGTGGAATGAATGCTGCAAATTAGGTGGTTAGAGAAATGGAGATGAGAGAAAAAGTGGAGATGAATGCAGAGCAATTAGGGGTGGTTGGGCATGAGAAATGGGAGATGAGAGAAAAAGTGGAAAAGATGAATGCTGCAGAGCAATTAGGGTGGTTACATGAGAAATGAGAAATGGAAAGATGAGAGAAAAATGAGGAAATGAGAAAGATGAATGCTGCAGTACTAGGTGGTTACATGAGAAAATGGGAGATGAGAGAAAAGTGGAAAGATGAATGCTGCAGAGCAATTAGGTGGTTATTGAGAAATGGAGATGAGAAAAAGGGAAAGATGAATGCTGCAGATAACTAGGTGGTTGGCATGAGAAATGGAGATGAGAGAAAAGTGGAAAGATGAAATTAGGTGGTTAGAGCAAAATTAGGTGAGATGAATGAGAAATTAGGAGATGAGAGAAAAGTGGAAAGATGAATGCTGCAAGGAGCAATTAGGTGGTTACATGAGAAATGAGATGAGAAAGTGGAAAGATGAATGCTGCAGAGCAACTAGGTGGAAATTAGGAGCATGGAAAGATGAAGTGGAGAGCAAATTAGAGAGAAAAGATGAGAAAGATGATTGCTGCAGAGCAATTAGGTGGTTACATGAGAAATGGAGATGAGAGAAAAGTGGAAAAGATGAATGCTGCAGAGCAATGTAGGTGGTTAAGCTGAGAAATGGAGATGAGAGAAAAAGGAGATGAAAATGAATGCTGCAGTGCAATTAGGTGGTTACATGAGAAATGGAGATGAGAGAAAAGAATGGAAAGATGAATGCTGGAGATGAAAAAAGGTGGTTACATGAGAAATGGAGATGAGAGAAAAGTGGAAAGATGAAGACAGTGCAATTAGGTGGTTACATGAGAAATGGAGATGAGAGAAAAGTGAAAGATGAATGCTGAAGTGCAATTAGGTGGTTAATAAAAAATGGAGATGAGAGAAAAGGGAAAGAAAATGCTGCAGTGCAATTAGGTGGTTACATGAGAAATGGAGATGAGAGAAAAAGTGGAAATGAATGCTGCAGTGCAATTAGGTGGTTACATGAAATGGAGATGAGAGAGAAAGTGAGATGAATGCTGCAAAGGAAATGAGAAATGGAGATGAGAAAAAGTGGAAAGATGAATGCTGCAGAAATTAGGTGGTTGGGTATGAGAAATGGAGATGAGAGAAAAATGAATGCTGGAGCAATAGGTGGTTAAAATGGTGGAGATGAGAGAAGAGGAAAGATGAATGTGCAATTACTAGGTGGTTACATGAGAAATGGAGATGAGAGAAAAAGTGGAAGATGAATGCTGCAGTAACTAGGTGGTTTTGAGAAATGGAGAGAGAAAAAGTGGAATGAATGCGCAGTACTAGGGTGGTTACATGAGAAATGGAGATGAGAGAAAAAGTGAAAGATGAATGCTGCAGTGCAATTAGGTGGTTAAGAAGGATGAGAAATGGAGATGAGAGAAAAAGGGAAAGATGAATGCTGCAGAGCAATTAGGTGGTTAAATGAGAAATGGAGATGAGAGAAAAGTGGAAAGATGAATGCTGCAGTACAATTAGGTGGTTAAGTATGAGAAATGGAGATGAGAGAAAAAGGAAAGATGAATGCTGCAGTGCAATTAGGTGGTTACATGAGAAATGGAGATGAGAGAAAAGTGGAAATGAATGCTGCAGTGCAATTAGGTGGTTACATGAGAAATGGAGATGAGAGAAAAGTGGAAAGATGAATGCTGCAGTGCAACTAGGTGGTTACGAAGGAGAAATGGGAGATGAGAGAAAAGTGGAAAAGATGAATGCTGCAGAGCAATTAGGTGGTTACATGAGAAAATGAGATGAGAGAAAAGTGGAATGAATGCAGTGCAAATTAGGTGGTTACATGAGAAATGGAGAGAGAAAAGGGAAAGATGAATGCTGCAGATAAATTAGGTGGTTAAATGAAATGAGAAATGAGAGAAAAGTGAGATGAGAATGAAGAAAAAGGAAAAATGAATGCTGAGTGCAATTAGGTGGTTACATGAGAAAGATGGAGAAAAAGAGAGAGAAAAGTGGAAAGAAAATGAGAGAAAAGTGGAAAGATGAAAGAAAGATAGGTGGTTACATGAGAAATGGAGAGAGAGAAAAGTGAGATGAAAAGGTGGTTACATGAGAAATGGAGATGAGAGAAAAGTGGAAAGATGAATGCTGAGAAAAATTAGGTGGTTATATGAGAAATGGAGATGAGAGAATGAATGCTGCAGAGCAAAGGTGGTTAATGAAAAAGGAGATGAGAGAAAGTGAATGAATGCTGCAGTGCAATTAGGTGGTTACAGAGAAAATGGAGATGAGAGAAAAGTGGAAAAAAAGGCAGTGCAATTAGGTGGTTAAGAATTGGAGAAATGGAGATGAGAGAAAAGTGAAAAGATGAATGCTGCAATGATGAATTAGAGAAAATGGAGATGAGAGAAAAGTGGAAAATGCTGCAGTGCAATTAGGTGGTTACATGAGAAATGAGATGAGAGAAAAGGGAAAGATGAATGCTGCAGAGCAATTAGGTGGTTAAATGAGAAATGGAGATGAGAGAAAAGTGGAAAGATGAATGCTGCAGAGCAATTAGGTGGTTAAATGAGAAATGGAGATGAGAGAAAAGGAAAGATGAATGCTGCAGTGCAATTAGGGGTGGTTACATGAGAAATGGAGATGAGAGAAAAGTGGAATGAATGCTGCAGAGCAATTAGGTGGTTATATGAGAAATGGAGATGAGAGAAAAGTGGAATGAATGCTGCAGTGCAATTAGGTGGTTACATGAGAAATGGAGATGAGAAAAAGTGGAAAGATGAATGCTGCAGAGCAATTAGGTGGTGGAAATTGAGAGAAAAAGTGAAAGAAATGGAGATGAGAGAAAATGAGATGAGAAAAAGTGAAATGATGAATGCAGTGCAATTAGGTGGTTATATGAGAAATGGAGATGAGAGAAAAGTGGAAAGATGAATGCTACAATTAGGTGGTTACATGAGAAATGGGAGATGAGAATGAAAGGTGGAATGAATGGAGATGAGAGAAAAGTGGAAAGATTAGGGTGGTTACATGAGAAATGGAGATGAGAGAAAAGGAAAGATGAATGCTGCAGTGCAATTAGGTGGTTACATGAGAAATGGAGATGAGAAAAGAAAAGATGAATGAATGCAGAGCAAATTAGGTGGTTATATGAGAAATGGAGATGAGAGAAAAGTGGAAATGAATGCTGCAGTACTAGTGGTTAGATGAGAAAATGGATGAGATGAGAGAAAAGATGGAAAAAATGAATGAATGTAGAGTAATAGGTGGTTAAAAATGAGAAATGGAGATGAGAGAAAAGTGAAAGATGAATGCTGCAGTGTACTAGGTGGTTACATGAAATGGAGATGAGAGAAAAGTGGAAAGATGAATGTGGAGAAAAGGTGGTTAGAAGAAATGATGAGAGAAAGAATGAATGCTGCAGTGAATTAGGTGGGTTACATGAGAAATGGAGATGAGAGAAAAGTGGAAAGATGAATGCTGCAGTGAAAGGTGGTTACATGAGAGATGGAATGAGATGAGAGAAAAGGGAGAAATGAATGAGAGAAAAGGGAGATGAATGTTAACTAGGTGGTTAATGAGAAATGAGATGAGAGAAAAAGTGAAATGAATGAATGCAGTGCAATTAGGTGGTTACATGAGAAATGGAGATGAGAGAAAAGTGAAAGATGAATGCTGCAGTGCAATTAGGTGGTTACATGAGAAATGGAGATGAGAGAAAAGTGGAAAGATGAATGCTGCAGAGAAATTAGGGGTGGTTAAGAGAAATGGAGATGAGAGAAAAAGGAAAGATGAATGCTGCAGAGCAATTAGGTGGTTAGATGAGAAATGGAGATGAGAGAAAAAGTCGAAAGATGAATGCTGCAGTGCAATAGGTGGTTACATGAGAATGGAGATGAGAGAAAAGTGGAAAGATGAATGCTGCAGTGCAATTAGGTGGTTAAAAATGAGAAATGGAGATGAGAGAAAAAAAGAGATGAATGCTGCAGAGCAATTAGGTGGTTACATGAGAAAATGAGATGAGAGAAAAGTGGAAAGATGAATGAGCAATTAGGTGGTTGGCATGAGAAATGGAGATGAGAGAAAAGTGAAAGATGAATGCTGTGCAATTAGGTGGTTACATGAGAAATGGAGAGATGAGAGAAAAATAGTGGAAAGATGAAAGATGAATGCAGAGCAATTAGGGTGGTTACATGAGAAATGAGATGAGAGAAAAGGGAAAGATGAAAGAAATTAGGTGGTCAGTATGAGAAATGGAGATGAGAGAAAAGTGAAATGAATGCTGCAGTAAATTAGGTGGTTAAATGGAGAAATGGAGATGAGAGAAAAGTGGAAAGATGAATGCTGCAGAGCAATTAGGTGGTTACATGAGAAATGGAGATGAGAGAAAAGGAAAGATGAATGCTGCAGAGCACTAGGTGGTTACATGAGAAATGGAGATGAGAGAAAAGGGCTGAATGCTGCAGTGAAATTAGGTGGTTAATGAGAAATGGAGATGAGAGAAAAAGGGAAAGATGAATGCTGCAGAGCAATTAGGTGGTTACAGAGAAATGAGATGAGAGAAAGTGAAAGATGAAAAGTACTAGTGGTTATAAGAGAAATGGAGATGAGATGGAATGAATGAAAAAGAGCTAGGTGTTGAATGAGAAATGGAGATGAGAGAGAAAGGAAAGAAAAGTGGAAAGATGAGAGCAATTAGGTGGTTAAGGTTGAAATGGAAATGGAATGAATGAGACATGAGAAATGGAGATGAGAGAAAAAGAAAGATGAATGCTGCAGTGGTGGTTACAATTAGGTGGTTAATTAGGTATACATGAGAAATGGAGATGAGAGAAAAGTGAAAGATGAATGCTGTAGAGCAATTAGGTGGTTACATGAGAAATGGAGATGAGAGAAAAGTGGAAAGATGAATGCTGCAGGAGCAATTAGGTGGTTAAGCATGAGAAATGGAGATGAGAGAAAAAGTGGAAATGAATGCCGGTAGGCAATAGGTGGTTACATGAGAAATGGAGATGAGAGAAAAGTGGAAAGATGAATGCTGCAGTACTAGGTGGTTACATGAGAAAATGGAGATGAGAGAAAAGTGGAAAGATGAATGCTATAGTGTATTAGGTGGTTACATGAGAAAATGGAGATGAGAGAAAAGGTGGAGATGAATGCTGCAGAGCAATTAGGTGGTTACATGAGAAATGGAGATGAGAGAAAAGTGAAAGATGAATGCTGCAGTGCAATTAGGTGGTTACATGAGAAATGGAGATGAGAGAAAAAATGAATGCTGCAGTAACAGGTGGTTACATGAGATGAATGAGAGAAAAAGTGAAAGATGAATGCAATTAGGTGGTTGAGAAATGGAGATGAGAAAAAGTGGAGATGAGAGAAAAAGTGGAAAGATGAATGCTGCAGAGCAATTAGGTGGTTACATGAGAAATGGAGATGAGAGAAAAAGTGAATGAAAGATGAAGGTGGTTACATGAGAAATGGAGATGAGAGAAAAAGTGGAAAGATGAATGCAGAGTACTAGGTGGTTAAGTATGAGAAATGGAGATGAGAGAAAAGTGGAAAGATGAATGCTGCAGAGGTGGTTAAGAAGAAAATGGAGAAATGGAGATGAGAGAAATGGAGATGAAAAAGTGGAAAGATGAAGAGACTAGGTGGTTAATGAGAAATGGAGATGAGAGAAAAAGTGGAAAGATGAATGGTGGTTAGGAGAAATGGAGATAGGTGGTTATGAATGAGAAAGGTGAAGCATGGAGATGAGATGAAAAGTGGAAAGATGAATGCTGCAGTGCAATTAGGGTGGTTACATGAGAAAATGGAGATGAGAGAAAAGGTGGAAAAATGATGAGAGAAAAGTGGGAGATGAATGTTGCAGTGCAATTAGGTGGTTACATGAGAAATGGAGATGAGAGAAAAAGTGGAAAGATGAATGCTGCAGAGCAAATTAGGTGGTTACATGAGAAATGGAGATGAGAGAAAAGGGAAAGATGAATGCTGCAGAGCAATTAGGTGGTTACAAAAGAAATGAGATGAGAGAAAAAGTGGAAAGATGAATGCTGCAGTGCAATTAGGTGGTTAAGTATGAGAAATGGAGATGAGAGAAAAGTGGAAAGATGAATGCTGCAGAGCAATTAGGTGGTTAAAGGAGAAATGGAGATGAGAGAAAAGTGGAATGAATGTTGAGTGGTGGTTAGAGAAATGGAGATGAGAGAAAAAGAAAGATGAATGCTGCAGAGCAATTAGGTGGTTACATGAGAAATGGAGATGAGAGAAAGTGAAAGATGAATGCAGCAGAGCAATTAGGTGGTTAAGTATGAGAAATGGAGATGAGAGAAAAGTGAAAATGAATGCTGGTGGTTACAGAAAATGGAGATGAGAAAAAGTGGAATGGCCGAATGTGATGAGAAATGGAGATGAGAGAAAAAGGGAAAGATGAATGAAGAGCAATTAGGTGGTTACAGAGAAATGGAGATGAGAGAAAAAGTGAAATGAATGCAGAATGTGGTTACATGAGAAATGGAGATGAGAAAAAGTGGAAAGATGAATGCTGCAGTGCAAAGGTGGTGAAATGGAGATGAGAGAAAAGTGAAAGATGAATGCAATTAGGGGTGGTTAAAAATGAGAAATGGAGATGAGAGAGAAAGAAAAGTGGAAAGATGGTGAATGAGAAATGGAGATGAGAGAAAAGGGAAAGATGGTTAATGAGAAAAATGGGAGATGAGAGAAAAAGTGGAATGAATGCTGCAGTGCAATGGTGGTCACATGAGAAATGGAGATGAGAGAAAAAGGGAAAGATGAATGCTGCAGAAGAATTAGGGTGGTTACTGAAAATGGAGATGAGAGAAAAGGGAAAGATGAATTAGGCAAAGGAATGAGAGTGGTTGATGAATGAGAAATGGTGATGAGAAAAAAAGTGGAATGAATGCTGCAGTGCACTAGGTGGTTACATGAGAAATGGAGATGAGAGAAAAGTGGAAAGATGAATGCTGCAGAGCAATTAGGTGGTTACATGAGAAATGGAGATGAGAGAAAAAGTGAGATGAAAAGGTGGTTACATGAGAAATGGAGATGAGAGAGAAAGTGGGAATGAATAAAGGTGCAAATTAGTTTACATGAGAAATGGAGATGAGAGAAAAGTGGAAAGATGAATGCTGCAGTGCAATTAAATGGAGATGGTTAAAAGATGAGAAATGGAGATGAGAGAGAAATGGGAGATGGAAATGAATGAAAACAGTGCAATTAGGTGGTTAAGATGAGAAATGGAGATGAGAGAAAAAGTGGAAAGATGAATGCAGTGCAATTAGGTGGTTACATGAGAAAATGGAGATGAGAGAAAAAGTGGAAAGATGAATGCTGCAGAGCACTAGGTGGTTACATGAGAAATGGAGATGAGAGAAAAGTGGAAAAGAAATGCTGCAGTGCAATTAGGTGGTTACATGAGAAATGGAGATGAGAGAAAAAAGATGAAAAGATGAATGAGAAATGGAGATGAGAGAAAAGTGGAATGAATGCTGTGGTTAGGTGGTTACATGAGAAATGGAGATGAGAGAAAAGTGGAAAGATGAATGCTGCAGTGCAATTAGGTGGGTTACATGAGAAATGGAGATGAGAGAAAAGTGGAATGAATGCTGCAGTGCAATTAGGTGGTTACATGAGAAATGGAGATGAGAGAAAAAGTGGAAAGATGAATGCTGCAGAGCAATTAGGTGGTTACATGAGAAATGGAGATGAGAGAAAAAGTGGAATGAATGTTGCAGTGTACTAGGTGGTTACATGAGAAAATGGAGAGAGAGAAAAGTGGAAAGATGAAATGCTGCAGAGCAATTAGGTGGTTACATGAGAAATGGGAGATGAGAGAAAAAGTGGAATGAATGCTGCAGTACTAGGTGGTTACAGAAAATGGAGATGAGAGAAAAGTGGAAAGATGAATGCTGCAGTGCAATTAGGTGGTTAGATGAGAAATGGAGATGAGAATGAAGTGGAAAGATGAATGCAGTGCAATTAGGTGGTTACATGAGAAATGGAGATGAGAGAAAAGGAAAGATGAATGTTGCAGTACTAGGTGGTTATATGAGAAATGGAGATGAGAGAAAAGTGGAAAGATGAATGCTGCAGAGCAAATTAGGTGGTTACATGAGAAATGGAGATGAGAGAAAAGTGAATGAATGCCGGTAGCAATTAGGTGGTTACATGAGAAATGGAGATGAGAAAAAAGGGAAAGATGAATGCCGCAGTGCAATTAGGTGGTTACATGAGAAATGGAGATGAGAAAAAGAATGAATGCTGCAGTACCAGTGGAAAAATGATGAATGAATGCTGCAGTGCACTTAGGTGGTTACATGAGAAATGGAGATGAGAGAAAAGTGGAAAGATGAATGCTGCAGTAATTAGGTGTTACATGAGAAATGGAGATGAGAGAAAAGGAAAGATGAATGCTGCAGTACTAGGTGGTACATGAGAAATGGAGATGAGAGAAAAGTGAAAGATGAATGCTGAGTAAATTAGGTGGTTAAGAAGGAGAAATGGAGAGATGAGAGAAAATGAATACAGTGCAATTAGGTGGTTACATGAGAAATGGGAGATGAGAGAAAAGTGGAAAGATGAATGGTGCAGGTTAGGTGGAAACATGAGAAATGAGATGAGAGAGAAAGGAATGAATGCTGCAGTGCAATTAGGTGGTTACATGAGAAATGGGAGATGAGAGAAAATGAATGCTGGAAAGATGAATGGAGATGAGAGAGCAATTAGGTGGTTACATGAGAAATGGGAGATGAGAGAAAGTGAAAGATGAATGCTGCAGAGCAATTAGGTGGTTACATGAGAAATGGAGATGAGAGAAAAGTGAAAGATGAATGTTGCAGTGCAATTAGGTGGTTACATGAGAAATGGAGATGAGAGAAAAGTGAAAGATGAATGCTGCAGATAAATTAGGGTGGTTACATGAGAAATGGAGATGAGAGAAAAGTGAAAGATGAATGCTGCAGTAATAGGTGGTATATGAGAAATGGAGATGAGAAAAAGAAAGATTGAATGCTGCAGAGCAATTAGGTGGTTACATGAGAAATGGAGATGAGAGAGGCAATGAATGAATGGAGGTGGTTGGCATGAGAAATGGGAAAGAAAAGGGAAAGATGAATGCTGCAGTGCAATTAGGTGGTTACATGAGAAATGGAGATGAGAGAAAAGTGGAAAGATGAATGTTGCAGTGCAATTAGGTGGTTACATGAGAAATGGAGATGAGAAAAAGTGGAAAGATGAATGCTGCAGTGCAATTAGGTGGTTACATGAGAAATGGGAGATGAGAGAAAAGTGGAAAGATGAATGCTGCAGAGCACTAGGTGGTTACATGAGAAAATGGAGATGAGAGAAAAAGTGGAAAGAATGAAGTGCAATTAGGTGGTTACATGAGAAATGGAGATGAGAGAAAAGTGGAAAATGATGAATGCTGCAGAGCAATTAGGTGGTTGGCTGAGAAATGGAGATGAGAGAAAAGTGAATGAAATGCTGCAGTGCAATTAGGTGGTTACATGAGAAATGGAGATGAGAGAAAAAGTGGAAGATGAATGCTGCAGTGCAATTAGGTGGTTACATGAGAAATGGAGATGAGAGAAAGTGGAAAGATGAATGCTGCAGAGCAATTAGGTGGTTACATGAGAAAATGGAGATGAGAGAAAAGTGGAAAGGTGGTTGGCATGAAAATGCTGAGAGAGAAAAAGTAGGAATGGTTACATGAGAAATGGAGATGAGAGAAAAAAGAAAGATGAATGCTGCAGTGCAATTAGGTGGTTACATGAGAAATGAGATGAGAGAAAAAGGGAATGAATGCTGCAGTGCAATTAGGTGGTTAAGATGGAGAAATGGAGATGAGAGAAAAAAGGGAAAGATGAATGCTGCAGAGCAATTAGGTGGTTACATGAGAAATGGAGATGAGAGAAAAGTGGAAGATGAATGCTGTAGAGCAATTAGGTGGTTGAGAAATGAGAAATGGAGATGAGAGAAAAGTGAGGAAAGATGAATGCTGCAGTGCAATTAGGTGGTTAAGAATGAGAAATGGAGATGAGAGAAAAAGTGAAATGAATGTTGCAGAGCAATTAGGTGGTTAAGCATGAGAAATGGAGATGAGAGAAAGTGAATGAATGCCGCAGTGCAATTAGGGGTGGTTACATGAGAAATGGAGATGAGAGAAAAGTGGAAAGATGAATGCTGCAGTGCAATTAGGTGGTTACATGAGAAATGGAGATGAGAAAAAGTGGAAAAGAATGAAAATTAGGTGGTTATGAAGAAATGGGATGAGAGAAAAAGGAATGAATGCTGCAAAACTAGGTGGTTACATGAGAAATGGAGATGAATGAAAGATGATGAGAGGTGGTTAAAAAGGAGAAGATGAATGAATGCTGCAGTAAATAGGTGGTTATATGAGAAATGGAGATGAGAAAAAGTGGAAAGATGAATGCTGCAGTGCAATTAGGTGGTTGGCATGAGAAATGGAGATGAGAGAAAAGTGGAAAGATGAATGCTGCAGTGCAATTAGGTGGTTATAAGAGAAATGGAGATGAGAGAAAGTGGAAAGATGAATGCTGCAGAGCAATTAGGTGGTTAAGATGAGAAATGGAGATGAGAGAAAAGTGGAAAGATGAATGGAGATGCAGTGCAATTAGGTGGTTACATGAGAAAATGGAGATGAGAGAAAAGTGAATGAAAGATGAGAAAATGAGATGAGAGAAGTGGAAAGATGAATGCAGAGCAATTAGGGGTGGTTACATGAGAAATGGAGATGAGAGAAAAGTGGAAAATGAATGCTGCAGAGCAATTAGGTGGGAAATACAGGAGAAATGGAGATGAGAGAAAAGGAAAGATGAATGCTGCAGAGCAATAGGGTGGTTACATGAGAAATGGAGATGAGAGAAAAAGTGGAAAGATGAATGCTGCAGACAATTAGGTGGTTACATGGAGAAATGGAGATGAGAGAAAAAGTGGAAAGATGAATGCTGCAGTGCAATTAGGTGGTTACATGAGAAAATGAGAGAAAGTGGAAAGATGAATGAGAGGTGGTTACAAAAATGGAGATGGAGAGAAAAAGTGAATGAATGCTGCAGAGCAATTAGGTGGTTACATGAGAAATGGAGATGAGAGAAAAGTGGAAAGATGAATGCTGCAGTGCAATTAGGTGGTTACATGAGAAATGGAGATGAGAGAAAAGTGGAAAGATGAATGCTGCAGAGCAATTAGGTGGTTACATGAGAAATGGAGATGAGAGAAAAAGTGGAAAGATGAATGCTGCAGTGCAATTAGGTGGTTACATGAGAAATGGAGATGAGAGAAAAGGAAAGATGAATGCTGCAGAGCAATTAGGTGGTTACATGAGAAATGGAGATGAGAGAAAAAGTGGAATGAATGCTGCAGTGCAATTAGGTGGTTACATGAGAAATGAGATGAGAGAAAAGTGGAAAGATGAATGCTGCAGTGCAATTAGGTGGTTACATGGAGAAATGGAGATGAGAGAAAAGTGGAAAGATGAATGCAGAGCAATTAGGTGGTTACATGAGAAATGGAGATGAGAGAAAAGTGGAAAGATGAATGCTGCAGTGCAATTAGGTGGTTACATGAGAAATGGAGATGAGAGAAAAAGAAAGATGAATGCTGCAGAGCAATTAGGTGGTTATGATGAGAAATGGAGATGAGAGAAAAAGGGAATGAATGCTGCAGTGCAATTAGGGTGGTTACATGGAGAAATGGGAGATGAGAGAAAAAGGAAAGATGAATGCTGCAGAGCAATTGGGTGGTTACATGAGAAATGGAGATGAGAGAAAAGTGGAATGAATGCTGCAGTGCAATTAGGTGGTTACATGAGAAATGGAGATGAGAGAAAAGTGAAAATGAATGCAGTGCAATTAGGTGGTTACATGAGAATGGAGATGAGAGAAAAGTGGAAGATGAATGCTGCAGAGCAATTAGTGGTTGGCAATTGAGGTGGTTACATGAGAAATGGAGATGAGAGAAAAAGTGGAAAGATGAATGCAGTGCAATTAGGGTGGTTGAGAAATGGAGAGATGAGAGAAAAGTGGAAAGATGAATGCTGCAGAGCACTAGGTGGTTACATGAGAAATGGAGATGAGAGAAAAGTGGAAAGATGAATGCTGCAGTGCAATTAGGTGGTTACATGAGAAATGGAGATGAGAAAAAGGAAAGATGAATGCTGCAGTGCAATTAGGTGGTTACATGAGAAATGGAGATGAGAAAAAGGAAAGATGAATGCTGCAGAGCAATTAGGTGGTTACATGAGAAAATGGAGATGAGAGAGAAAAAGTGGAAAGATGAATTGGGTGGTTACAGAGAAATGGAGATGAGAGAAAAGTGAGATGAATGCTGCAGAGAATGAGAGAAAATGGAGATGGAAAAAGATGAATGCTGCAGTGCAATTAGGTGGTTACAGAAATGGAGAAATGGAGATGAATGAGAAATTAGGTGGTTACATGAGAAAATGATGAATGGAAAGAGTGCAATTTAGGTGGTTACATGAGAAATGGAGATGAGAGAAAAGTGGAAATGAATGCTGCAGAGCAATTAGGTGGTTACATGAGAAATGGAGATGAGAGAAAAGTGGAAAGATGAATGCTGCAGTGCAATTAGGTGGTTACATGAAAATGGAGATGAGAGAAAAAGTGGAAAGATGAATGCTGCAGAGCAATTAGGTGTTACATGAGAAATGGAGAGAGAGAAAGTGGAAAGAATGAATGCTGCAGTGCAATTAGGTGGTTACATGAGAAATGGAGAAGAAAAAGTGGAAAGATGAATGCTACAGTGCAATTAGGTGGTTACATGAGAAATGGAGATGAGAGAAAAAGTGGAAAGATGAATGCTGCAGTAATTAGGTGGTTAAGAGAAATGAGAAATGGAGATGAGAAAAAAAAGATGGAAATTAGGGTGGTTACATGAGAAATGAGATGAGAGAAAAGCAAGAATGCTGCAGGGTGGTTACATGAGAAATGGAGATGAGAGAAAAGTGGAAGATGAATGCTGCAGAGCAATTAGGTGGTTACATGAGAAATGGAGATGAGAGAATGCTGCAGTGCACTAGGTGGAAAGAAATGGAGATGAGAGAAAAGTGGAATGAATAGGGTGGTTACATGAGAAATGGAGATGAGAGAAAAGTGAAAGATGAATGCTGCAGTGCAATTAGGTGGTTACATGAGAAATGGAGATGAGAGAAAAGTGGAAAGATGAATGCTGCAGTGCAATTAGGGTGGTGAGAAATGAGACAAAGATGAATGAAATTAGTGGAGATGAGAAAAGATGAGAAAAGTGAATGCTGCAGTGCAATTAGGTGGTTACATGAGAAATGGAGATGAGAGAAAAAGTGGAAAGATGAATGCTGCAGTGCAATTAGGTGGTTACATGAGAAATGGAGATGAGAGAAAAAGTGGAAAGATGAATGCTGCAGAGCAATTGGTGGTTACATGAGAAATGGAGATGAGAGAAAAGTGGAATGAATGCTGCAGTGCAATTAGGTGGTTACATGAGAAAATGGAGATGAGAGAAAAAGTGAAAAGATGAATGCTGCAGTGCACCAGGTGGTTACATGAGAAATGGAGATGAGAGAAAAGTGGAAAGATGAATGCTGCAGAAACAATTAGGTGGTTACATGAGAAATGGAGATGAGAGAAAAGTGGAAATGAATGCTGCAGTGCAATTAGGTGGGTTACATGAGAAATGGAGATGAGAGAAAAGTGGAAGATGAATGCTGCAGTGCAATTAGGTGGTTACATGAGAAATGGAGATGAGAGAAAAAGAAAATGGAAAGATGAATGCTGCAGAGCAATTAGGTGGTTACATGAGAAATGGAGATGAGAGAAAAAGTGGAAAGATGAATGCTGCAGTGTAATTAGGTGGTTAACATGAGAAATGGAGATGAGAGAAAAAGGGAATGAATGCTGCAGTGCAATTAGGTGGTTACATGAGAAATGGAGATGAGAGAAAAGTGGAAAGATGAATGCTGCAGTGCAATTAGGTGGTTACATGAGAAATGGAGATGAGAGAAAAAGTGGAAAGATGAATGCTGCAGAGCAATAGGTGGTTACATGAGAAATGGAGATGAGAAAAAAGTGGAAAGATGAATGCTGCAGTGCAATTAGAAATGGAGATGAGAGAAAAGTGAGAAATGGAGATGAGAGAAAAAGTGGAATGAATGCTGCAGTGCAATTAGGTGGTTACATGAGAAATGGAGATGAGAGAAAAAGATGAATGCTGCAGTGCAATTAGGGTGGTGAGAAATGGAGATGAGAGAAAAGTGAAAGATGAATGCTGCAGTGCAATTAGGGGTGGTTACATGAGAAATGGAGATGAGAGAAAAGTGGAATGAATGCTGCAGGAGCAATTAGGGTGGTTACATGAGAAATGGAGATGAGAGAAAAAGTGGAAAGATGAATGCTGCAGTGCAAATTAGGTGGTTACATGAGAAATGGAGATGAGAGAAAAAGTGGAAAGATGAATGCTGCAGTGCAATTAGGTGGTTACATGAGAAATGGAGATGAGAGAAAAGTGGAAAGATGAATGCTGCAGTGCAATTAGGTGGTTAAGAAATGGAGAAAATGGAATGAATGCTGCAGAGAGAAAATGGAGATGAGAAAAATGAAAAGATGCTGCAGTGCAATTAGGTGGTTACATGAGAAATGGAGATGAGAGAAAAGTGGAAAGATGAATGCTGCAGTGCAATTAGGTGGTTACATGAGAAATGGAGATGAGAGAAAAGTGAAAGATGAATGCTGCAAACAATTAGGTGGTTACATGAGAAATGGAGATGAGAGAAAAAGTGGAATGAATGCTGCAGATGACATGAGAAATGGAGAGATGAGAAAAAGTGGAAAGATGAATGCAGTGCAATTAGGTGGTTACATGAGAAATGGAGATGAGAGAAAAAGTGGAATGAATGCTGCAGTGCAATTAGGTGGTTACATGAGAAATGGAGATGAGAGAAAAGATGAGAGAGAAAAGTGGAATGAATGCTGCAAATTAGATGGAGATGAGAGAAAAGTGAAAGATGAATGCTGCAGATTTAGGTGGTTACATGAGAAATGGAGATGAGAGAAAAGTGGAAAATGAATGCTGCAGTGCAATTAGGGTGGTTACATGAGAAATGGAGATGAGAGAAAAAAGTGGAAAGATGAATGCTGCAGAGCAATTAGGTGGTTACATGAGAAATGGAGATGAGAGAAAAGTGGAATGAATGGAAGTGCAATTAGGTGGTTACATGAGAAATGGAGATGAGAGAAAAGCAAAGATGAATGCTGGTACTTAGGTGGTTACATGAGAAATGGAGATGAGAGAAAAAAAGGAAAGATGAATGCTGCAGTGCAATTAGGTGGTTACATGAGAAATGGGATGAGAGAAAAGTGGAATGAATGCTGCAGTAATTAGGTGGTTACATGAGAAATGGAGATGAGAGAAAAGTGGAAAGATGAATGCTGCAGAGCAATTAGGTGGTTACATGAGAAATGGAGATGAGAAAAGTGAATGAATGCTGCAGAAAATGAGAAATGGAGATGAGATGCTGCAGTGCAATTAGGTGGTTACATGAGAAATGGAGATGAGAGAAAAATTGGAATGAATGCTGTGCAATTAGGTGGTTACATGAGAAATGGAGATGAGAGAAAAGGAAAGATGAATGCTGCAGTGCAATTAGGTGGTTTACATGAGAAATGGAGATGAGAGAAAAGTGGAAAGATGAATGCTGCAGTGCAATTAGGTGGTTACATGAGAAATGGAGATGAGAGAAAAAAGGAATGAATGCTGCAGTGCAATTAGGTGGTTACATGAGAAATGGAGATGAGAGAAAAAAGTGGAATGAATGCTGCAGTGCAATTAGGGTGGTTACATGAGAAATGGAGATGAGAGAAAAGTGGAAAAGATGAATGCTGCAGTGCAATTAGGTGGTTACATGAGAAATGGGAGATGAGAGAAAAAGTGGAAAGATGAATGAACAGTGCAATTAGGTGGTTACATGAGAAATGGAGATGAGAGAAAAAGTGGAATGAATGCTGCAGAGCAATTAGGTGGTTTAAATGGAGATGAGAAAAAAGTGGAATGAATGCTGCAGTGCAATTAGGTGGTTACATGAGAAATGGAGATGAGAGAAAAAGTGGAAGATGAATGCTGCAGAGCAATTAGGTGGTTACATGAGAAATGGAGATGATGGAATGAATGCTGCAGTGCAATTAGGTGGAGAAATGGAGATGAGAGAAAAGTGGAAAGATGAATGCAGAGCAATTAGGTGGTTACATGAGAAATGGAGATGAGAGAAAAGTGAAAGATGAATGCTGCAGTGCAATTAGGGTGGTTACATGAGAAATGGAGATGAGAGAAAAGGGAAAGATGAATGCTGCAGTGCAATTAGGTGGTTACATGAGAAAAATGGAGATGAGAAAAAAGTGGAGATGAGAGAAAAGAAATGGAATGAGAGAAAAAGAAAGATGAATGCTGCAGTGCAATTAGGTGGTTACATGAGAAATGGAGATGAGAGAAAAGTGGAAAGATGAATGCTGCAGAGCAATTAGGTGGTTACATGAGAAATGGAGATGAGAGAAAAAGTGGAATGAATGCTGCAGTGCAATTAGGTGGTTACATGAGAAATGGAGATGAGAGAAAAAGTGGAAATGAATGCTGCAGTGCAATTAGGTGGTTACATGAGAAATGGAGATGAGAGAAAAAGTGGAATGAATGCTGCAGTGCAATTAGGTGGTTACATGAGAAATGGAGATGAGAGAAAAAGTGGAAAGATGAATGCTGCAGAGCAATTAGGTGGTTACATGAGAAATGGAGATGAGAGAAAAAGTGGAATGAATGCTGCAGTGCAATTAGGTGGTTACATGAGAAATGGAGATGAGAGAAAAAGTGGAAAGATGAATGCTGCAGTGCAATTAGGTGGTTACATGAGAAATGGAGATGAGAGAAAAAGTGGAAAGATGAATGCAGTGCAATTAGGTGGTTACATGAGAGAATGGAGATGAGAGAAAAGTGGAAGATGAATGCAGAGCAATTAGGTGGTTAGAGAAAATGGAGATGAGAGGAGATGAATGAGAAAATGAGAAATGGAGATGAGAGAAAAGTGAAATGTGCAACGGTGGTTATGGAGATGAGAGAAAAATTAAGATGAATGCTGCAGTGCAATTAGGTGGTTACATGAGAAATGGAGATGAGAGAAAAGTGGAATGAATGCTGCAGTGCAATTAGGTGGTTGGCATGAGAAATGGAAAGAAAAGGAAAGATGAATGAATGCAGAGCAATTAGGTGGTTACATGAGAAATGGAGATGAGAGAAAAGTGGAATGAATGCTGCAGTGCAATTAGGGTGGTTACATGAGAAATGGAGATGAGAGAAAAAGTGGAATGAATGCTGCAGTGCAATTAGGTGGTTACATGAGAAATGGAGATGAGAGAAAAGTGGAAAGATGAATGCTGCAGAGCAATTAGGTGGTTACATGAGAAATGGAGATGAGAGAAAAGTGGAATGAATGCTGCAGTGCAATTAGGTGGTTACATGAGAAATGGAGATGAGAGAAAAAAAGAAAGATGAATGCTGCAGAGCAATTGGGTGGTTACATGAGAAATGGAGATGAGAGAAAAGTGGAATGAATGCTGCAGTGCAATTAGGTGGTTACATGAGAAATGGAGATGAGAGAAAAGTGGATGATGAAGATGAATGGAGATGAGGAGAAAAGTGGAATAGATGCTGCAGTGCAATTAGGGTGGTTACATGAGAAATGGAGATGAGAGAAAAGTGGAAAGATGAATGCTGCAGAGCAATTAGGTGGTTACATGAGAAATGGAGATGAGAGAAAAAAGTGAAAGATGAATGCTGCAGAGCAATTAGGTGGTTACATGAGAAATGGAGATGAGAGAAAAGTGGAAAGATGAATGCTGCAGTGCAATTGCAATTAGGTGGTTACATGAGAAATGGAGATGAGATGAAAAAAGGAAGATGAATGCTGCAGGAGCAATTAGGGTGGTTACATGAGAAATGGAGATGAGAGAAAAGTGGAAAGATGAATGCTGCAGTGCAATTAGGTGGTTACATGAGAAATGGAGATGAGAGAAAAGTGGAAAGATGAATGCTGCAGAACAATTAGGTGGTTACATGAGAAATGGAGATGAGAGAAAAAAGTGGAAAGATGAATGCAGTGCAATTAGGTGGTTATGAGAAATGGAGATGAGAGAAAAAGTGGAAAGATGAATGCTGCAGTGCAAGGTGGTTGGCATGAGAAATGGAGATGAGAGAAAAGTGGAATGAATGCTGCAGTGCAATTAGGTGGTTACATGAGAAATGGAGATGAGAGAAAAAATGGAAAGATGAATGCTGCAGCAATTAGGTGGTTTTACATGAGAAATGGAGATGAGAGAAAAAATGGAATGAATGCTGCAGTGCAATTAGGGTGGTTACATGAGAAATGGAGATGAGAGAAAAAGTGGAAAGATGAATGCTGCAGAGCAATTAGGTGGTTACATGAGAAATGGAGATGAGAGAAAAAAGTGGAATGAATGCTGCAGTGCAATTAGGTGGTTACATGAGAAATGGAGATGAGAGAAAAGTGGAAGATGAATGCTGCAGAGCAATTAGGTGGTTACATGAGAAATGGAGATGAGAGAAAAGTGGAAAGATGAATGCTGCAGTGCAATTAGGTGGTTACATGAGAAATGGAGATGAGAGAAAAGATGAGAGAAAGGTGGTGGAAAGATGAGAGAAAAAGTGCTGAATGCTGCAGGTGGTTACATGAGAAATGGAGATGAGAGAAAAAGTGGAAAGATGAGAATTAGGTGGTTACATGAGAAAATGGAAAGAAAAAAGTGGAAAGATGAATGCTGCAGAGCAATTAGGTGGTTACATGAGAAATGGAGATGAGAGAAAAAAGTGGAATGAATGCTGCAGTGCAATTAGGTGGTTACATGAGAAATGGAGATGAGAGAAAAGTGGAAAGATGAATGCTGCAGTGCAATTAGGTGGTTACATGAGAAATGGAGATGAGAGAAAAGTGGAATAGATGAATGCTGCAGAAAGGTGGTTACATGAGAAATGGAGATGAGAGAAAAGTGGAAAGATGAATGCTGCAGTGCAATTAGGTGGTTACATGAGAAATGGAGATGAGAGAAAAAGAAAATGCTGCAGTGGTGGTTAAGAGAAATGGAATGAGAGAAAAAGTGGAAAGATGCAATTTAGGTGGTTACATGAGAAATGGAGATGAGAAAAAAGTGGAGATGAGAGAAAAATGGAGGAAGATGAATGCTGCAGAGCAATTAGGGTGGTTACATGAGAAATGGAGATGAGAGAAAAAAAGTGGAATGAATGCTGCAGTGCAATTAGGTGGTTACATGAGAAATGGAGATGAGAGAAAAAGGAAAGATGAATGCTGCAGAGCAATTAGGTGGTTACATGAGAAATGGAGATGAGAGAAAAGTGGAAAGATGAATGCTGCAGTGCAATTAGGTGGTTACATGAGAAATGGAGATGAGAGAAAAGTGGAAAGATGAATGCTGCAGTGCAATTAGGTGGTTACATGAGAAATGGAGATGAGAGAAAAAAGTGGAAAGATGAATGCTGCAGAGCAATTAGGTGGTTACATGAGAAATGGAGATGAGAGAAAAAGTGGAAAGATGAATGCTGCAGTGCAATTAGGTGGTTACATGAGAAATGGAGATGAGAAAAAGTGGAAATGAATGCTGCAGTGCAATTAGGTGGTTACATGAGAAATGGAGATGAGAGAAAAGTGGAAAGATGAATGCTGCAGAGCAATTAGGTGGTTACATGAGAAATGGAGATGAGAGAAAAGTGGAATGAATGCTGCAGTGCAATTAGGTGGTTACATGAGAAATGGAGATGAGAGAAAAAAGTGGAAAGATGAATGCTGCAGAGCAATTAGGTGGTTACATGGAAATGGAGATGAGAGAAAAGTGGAAAAGATGAAATGGAGAAATGGAGAGAAAAGTGGAATGAATGCTGCAGAGCAATTAGGTGGTTACATGAGAAATGGAGATGAGAGAAAAGTGGAAAGATGAATGCTGCAGAGAAGGTGGTTACTGAGAAATGGAGATGAGAGAAAAAGTGGAAAGATGAATGCTGCAATTAGGTGGTTACATGAGAAATGGAGATGAGAGAAAAAGTGGAAAGATGAATGCTGCAGTGCAATTAGGTGGTTACATGAGAAATGGAGATGAGAGAAAAAGTGGAAAGATGAATGCTGCAGTGCAATTAGGTGGTTACATGAGAAATGGAGATGAGAGAAAAAATTAGTGGAAAGATGAATGCTGCAGTGCAATTAGGTGGTTACATGAGAAATGGAGATGAGAGAAAAAGTGGAAAGATGAATGCTGCAGAGCAATTAGGTGGTTGGAGATGAGAAATGGAATGAATGAGAGAAAAGTGGAAAGATGAATGCTGCAGTGCAATTAGGTGGTTACATGAGAAATGGAGATGAGAGAAAAGTGGAAAGATGAATGCTGCAGAGCAATTAGGTGGTTACATGAGAAATGGAGATGAGAGAAAAGTGGAAAGATGAATGCTGCAGTGCAATTAGGTGGTTACATGAGAAATGGAGATGAGAGAAAAGTGAAAGATGAATGCTGCAGAGCAATTAGGTGGTTGGCATGAGAAATGGAGATGAGAGAAAAGTGAATGAAAAGGTGGTTATGAAATGGAGATGAGAAAAAGTGGAAGATGAATGCTGCAGTGCAATTAGGTGGTTACATGAGAAATGGAGATGAGAGAAAAGTGGAAAGATGAATGCAGTGCAATTAGGTGGTTACATGAGAAATGGAGATGAGAGAAAAAGGGAAAGATGAATGCTGCAGAGCAATTAGGTGGTTACATGAGAAATGGAGATGAGAGAAAAGTGGAATGAATGCTGCAGTGCAATTAGGTGGTTACATGAGAAATGGAGATGAGAGAAAAGTGAAAGATGAATGCTGCAGTGCAATTAGGTGGTTACATGAGAAATGGAGATGAGAGAAAAGTGGAAAGATGAATGCTGCAGTGCAATTAGGTGGTTACATGAGAAATGGAGATGAGAGAAAAGAGAATGGAAAAGATGAATGCTGCAGTGCAATTAGGTGGTTACATGAGAAATGGAGATGAGAGAAAAGTGGAAAGATGAATGCTGCAGAGCAATTAGGTGGTTACATGAGAAATGGAGATGAGAGAAAAGTGGAATGAATGCTGCAGTGCAATTAGGTGGTTACATGAGAAATGGAGATGAGAGAAAAAAGGAATGAATGCTGCAGTGCAATTAGGTGGTTACATGAGAAATGGAGATGAGAGAAAAAGTGGAATGAATGCTGCAGTGCAATTAGGTGGTTTACATGAGAAATGGAGATGAGAGAAAAGTGGAATGATGAATGCTGCAGTGCAATTAGGTGGTTACATGAGAAATGGAGATGAGAGAAAAGTGGAAAGATGAATGCTGCAGTGCAATTAGGTGGTTACATGAGAAATGGAAATGGAGATGAGAGAAAAGTGGTGAAAGATGAATGCTGCAGTGCAATTAGGTGGTTACATGAGAAATGGAGATGAGAGAAAAAGTGGAAGATGAATGCTGCAGAGCAATTAGGTGGTTACATGAGAAATGGAGATGAGAGAAAAAAGTGGAAAGATGAATGCTGCAGGTGGTTAATTGAGAGAAAAGTGGAATGAATGGTTGGTTACATGAGAAATGAGATGAGAAATGGAGATGAGAAATGGAGATGAGAGAAAAAAGTGGAAGAAATGGAGATGAGAGAAAAAGTGAATGCTGCAGTGCAATTAGGGTGGTTACATGAGAAATGGAGATGAGAGAAAAAGTGGAAAGATGAATGCTGCAGTGCAATTAGGTGGTTACATGAGAAATGGAGATGAGAAAAAGTGGATGAATGCTGCAGAGCAATTAGGTGGTTACATGAGAAATGGAGATGAGAAAAAGTGGAAAGATGAATGCTGCAGTGCAATTAGGTGGTTACATGAGAAATGGAGATGAGAGAAAAAGTGGAAAGATGAATGCTGCAGTGCAATTAGGTGGTTACATGAGAAATGGAGATGAGAGAAAAAGTGGAAAGATGAATGCTGCAGAGCAATTAGGGTGGTTACATGAGAAATGGAGATGAGAGAAAAGTGGAAAGATGAATGCTGCAGATGCAATTAGGTGGTTACATGAGAAATGGAGATGAGAGAAAAGTGGAAAGATGAATGCTGCAGAGCAATTAGGTGGTTACATGAGAAATGGAGATGAGAGAAAAGTGGAATGAATGCTGCAGTGCAATTAGGGTGGTTACATGAGAAATGGAGAGAGAGAGAAAAGGAAAATGAATGCTGCAGAGCAATTAGGTGGTTACATGAGAAAATGGAGATGAGAGAAAAGTGGAAAGATGAATGCTGCAGTGCAATTAGGTGGTTACATGAGAAATGGAGATGAGAGAAAAGTGGAAAGATGAATGCTGCAGAGCAATTAGTGGTTACATGAGAAATGGAGATGAGAAAAGGAATGAATGATGCTGTGAGGTTACATGAGAAATGGAGATGAGAGAAAAGAAATGGAAAGATGAATGAATGCTGCAGAGCAATTAGGTGGTTACATGAGAAATGGAGATGAGAGAAAAGTGGAATGAATGCTGCAGTGCAATTAGGTGGTTACATGAGAAATGGAGATGAGAGAAAAGTGGAAAGATGAATGCTGCAGTGCAATTAGGTGGTTACATGAGAAATGGAGATGAGAGAAAAAGTGGAAAGATGAATGCTGCAGAGCAATTAGGTGGTTACATGAGAAATGGAGATGAGAGTGGAAAGAATGCTGCAGTGCAATTAGGTGGTTACATGAGAAATGGAGATGAGAGAAAAGTGGAAAGATGAATGCTGCAGAGCAATTAGGTGGTTACATGAGAAATGGAGATGAGAGAAAAGGGAATGAATGCTGCAGTGCAATTAGGTGGTTACATGAGAAATGGAGATGAGAGAAAAAGTGAAAGATGAATGCTGCAGAGCAATTGGGTGGTTACATGAGAAATGGAGATGAGAGAAAAAGTGGAAAGATGAATGCTGCAGAGCAATTAGGTGGTTACATGAGAAATGGAGATGAGAGAAAAGTGGAAAGATGAATGCTGCAGTGCAATTAGGTGGTTACATGAGAAATGGAGATGAGAGAAAAAGTGGAAAGATGAATGCTGCAGTGCAATTAGGTGGTTACATGAGAAATGGAGATGAGAGAAAAAAAAGATGAATGAAGCAATTAGGTGGTTATGGAATGAGAGAAAAAGTGAAAGAGCAATTAGGTGGTTACATGAGAAATGGAGATGAGAGAAAAAGTGGAAAGATGAATGCTGCAGTGCAATTAGGTGGTTACATGAGAAATGGAGATGAGAGAAAAAGTGGAAAGATGAATGCTGCAGAGCAATTAGGTGGTTACATGAGAAATGGAGATGAGAGAAAAGTGGAAAGATGAATGCTGCAGAGGTTACAAAATGGAGATGAGAGAAAAAGTGGAAAGATGAATGCTGCAGAGCAATTGAGAAATGGAGATGAGAGAAAAAGTGGAAAGATGAATGCTGCAGAGCAATTAGGTGGTTACATGAGAAATGGAGATGAGAGAAAAATGTGGAAAGATGAATGCTGCATGTGCAATTAGGTGGTTACATGAGAAATGGAGATGAGAAAAGTGGAAAGATGAATGCTGCAGAGCAAATTAGGTGGTTACATGAGAAATGGAGATGAGAGAAAAGTGAAAGATGAATGCTGCAGAGCAATTAGGTGGTTACATGAGAAATGGAGATGAGAGAAAAGTGGAAAGATGAATGCTGCAGTGCAATTAGGTGGTTACATGAGAAATGGAGATGAGAGAAAAGTGGAAAGATGAATGCTGCAGAGCAATTAGGTGGTTACATGAGAAATGGAGATGAGAGAAAAAGTGGAAAGATGAATGCTGCAGAGCAATTAGGTGGTTACATGAGAAATGGAGATGAGAGAAAAGGAAAGATGAATGCTGCAGTGCAATTAGGGTGGTTACATGAGAAATGGAGATGAGAGAAAAGTGGAAAGATGAATGCTGCAGAGCAATTAGGTGGTTACATGAGAAATGGAGATGAGAGAAAAAAGTGGAAAGATGAATGCTGCAGAGCAATTAGGTGGTTACATGAGAAATGGAGATGAGAGAAAAAGTGGAAAGATGAATGCTGCAGAGCAATTAGGTGGTTACATGAGAAATGGAGATGAGAGAAAAAGTGGAAAGATGAATGCTGCAGAGCAATTAGGTGGTTACATGAGAAATGGAGATGAGAGAAAAGTGGAAAGATGAATGCTGCAGTGCAATTAGGTGGTTACATGAGAAATGGAGATGAGAGAAAAAGTGGAAAGATGAATGCTGCAGAGGTGGTTACAATTAGGAGAAAAGTTGAATGCATGAGAAATGGAGATGAGAGAAAAAGTGGAAAGATGAATGCTGCAGTGCAATTAGGTGGTTACATGAGAAATGGAGATGAGAGAAAAGTGGAAAGATGAATGCTGCAGAGCAATTAGGTGGTTACATGAGAAATGGAGATGAGAGAAAAGTGGAAAGATGAATGCTGCAGTGCAATTAGGTGGTTACATGAGAAATGGAGATGAGAGAAAAAGTGGAAAGATGAATGCTGCAGAGCAATTAGGTGGTTATGGAGATGAGAGAAAAGTGGAAAGATGAATGCTGCAGAGCAATTAGGTGGTTTAGATGAGAAATGGAGATGAGAGAAAAAAGTGGAAAGATGAATGCTGCAGAGCAATTGAGGGGGAGATGGTTACATGAGAAATGGAGATGAGAGAAAAAGTGGAAAGATGAATGCTGCAGAGCAATTAGGTGGTTACATGAGAAATGGAGATGAGAGAAAAAAGTGGAAAGATGAATGCTGCAGTGCAATTAGGGTGGTTACATGGAGAAATGGAGATGAGAGAAAAAGTGGAAAATGAATGCTGCAGAGCAATTAGGTGGTTACATGAGAAATGGAGATGAGAGAAAAGTGGAAAGATGAATGCTGCAGAGCAATTAGGTGGTTACATGAGAAATGGAGATGAGAGAAAAAGTGGAAAGATGAATGCTGCAGAGCAATTAGGGTGGTTACATGAGAAATGGAGATGAGAGAAAAAGTGGAAAGATGAATGCTGCAGGTGCAATTGGGTGGTTACATGAGAAAATGGAGATGAGAGAAAAAGTGGAAAGATGAATGCTGCAGAGCAATTAGGTGGTTACATGAGAAATGGAGATGAGAGAAAAGTGAAAGATGAATGCTGCAAATTAGTGGTTACATGGAAATGGAGATGAAAAAGAATGCTGCAGTGCAATTAGGTGGTTACATGAAAATGGAGATGAGAGAAAAAGTGGAAAGATGAATGCTGCAGAGCAATTAGGTGGTTACATGAGAAATGGAGATGAGAGAAAAAGTGGAAAGATGAATGCTGCAGTGCAATTAGGTGGTTACATGAGAAATGGAGATGAGAGAAAAAGTGGAAAGATGAATGCTGCAGAGCAATTATAGGTGGTTACATGAGAAATGGAGATGAGAGAAAAGTGGAAAGATGAATGCTGCAGAGCAATTAGGTGGTTACATGAGAAATGGAGATGAGAGAAAAAGTGGAAAGATGAATGCTGCAGAGCAATTAGGTGGTTAGATGAGAAATGGAGATGAGAGAAAAGTGGAAAGATGAATGCTGCAGAGCAATTAGGTGGTTACATGAGAAATGGAGATGAGAGAAAAAGTGGAAAGATGAATGCTGCAGAGCAATTAGGTGGTTACATGAGAAATGGAGATGAGAGAAAAATGGAAAGATGAAAAGAGTTAGGAAGATGAATGGAAAGATGAATGTTGCAGAGCAATTAGGTGGTTACATGAGAAATGGAGATGAGAGAAAAAGTGGAATGAATGCTGCAGTGCAATTAGGTGGTTGGCATGAGAAATGGAGATGAGAGAAAAAGTGGAAAGATGAATGCTGCAGTGCAATTAGGTGGTTACATGAGAAATGGAGATGAGAGAAAAAGTGGAAAGATGAATGCTGCAGAGCAATTAGGTGGTTACATGAGAATGGAATGAGAGAAAAAAGTGGAATGAATGCTGCAGTGCAATTAGGTGGTTACATGAGAAATGGAGATGAGAGAAAAGTGGAAAGATGAATGCTGCAGTGCAATTAGGTGGTTACATGGAGAAAAAAGTGGCTGCAGATGAGAGAAAAGATGAGGAAAAGATGAATGCTGCAGAGCAATTAGGTGGTTACATGAGAAATGGAGATGAGAGAAAAAAGTGGAATGAATGCTGCAGTGCAATTAGGTGGTTACATGAGAAATGGAGATGAGAGAAAAAGTGAAAGATGAATGCTGCAGTGCAATTAGGTGGTTACATGAGAAATGGAGATGAGAGAAAAGTGAAATGAATGCTGCAGTGCAATGGTGGTTACATGAGAAATGGAGATGAGAGAAAAAAGTGGAAGATGAATGCAGTGCAATTAGGTGGTTACATGAGAAATGGAGATGAGAGAAAAGTGAAAGATGAATGCTGCAGAAAAAGCAATTAGGTGGTTACATGAGAAAATGGAGATGAGAGAAAAGTGGAAAGATGAATGCTGCAGTGCAATTAGGTGGTTACATGAGAAATGGAGATGAGAGAAAAGTGGAATGAATGCTGCAGTGCAATTAGGTGGTTACATGAGAAATGGAGATGAGAGAAAAAAAGTGGAAAGATGAATGCTGCAGTGCAATTAGGTGGTTACATGAAAATGGAGATGAGAGAAAAAGGAAAGATGAATGCTGCAGGCAATTAGGTGGTTACATGAGAAATGGAGATGAGAGAAAAGGTGGAAAAGTGGAAAGATGAATGCTGTTACATGAGTGGAATGAGAGAAAAAAGATGAATACTAGGTGGGTTTACATGAGAAATGGAGATGAGAGAAAAAGTGGAAAGATGAATGCTGCAATTAGGGTGGTTACAATTGGAGGTGGTTGGAATGCATGAGAAATGGAGATGAGAGAGAAAAAGTGGAAAGATGAATGCTGCAGTGCAATTAGGTGGTTACATGAGAAATGGAGATGAGAGAAAAAGTGGAAAGATGAATGCTGCAGAGCAATTAGGTGGTTAGAAATGGAGAAAGAAAAGTGGAATGAATGAGAATTAGGTGGTTAAAGAAAAATGGAGATGAGAGAAAAAAGAAAGATGAATGCTGCAGTGCAATTAGGTGGTTACATGAGAAATGGAGATGAGAAAAGTGGAAGATGAATGAGAATTAGGTGGTTAAAGAAATGGAAAGATGAAATGAATGCTGCAGTGCAATTAGGTGGTTACATGAGAAATGGAGATGAGAGAAAAGTGGAATGAATGCTGCAGTGCAATTAGGTGGTTACATGAGAAATGGAGATGAGAGAAAAGTGGAAAGAATGATGAATTAGGTGGTTACATGAGAAATGGAGATGAGAGAAAAGTGTGGAATGAATGCTGCAGTGCAATTAGGTGGTACATGAGAAAATGGAGATGAGAAATGGAGATGAGAGAAAATGGAGTGGAAAGATGAATGCTGAAATGCAGTGCAATTAGGTGGTTACATGAGAAATGGAGATGAGAGAAAAAGTGGAAAGATGAATGCTGCAGAGCAATTAGGTGGTTACATGAGAAATGGAGATGAGAGAAAAGTGGAAAGATGAATGCTGCAGTGCAATTAGGTGGTTACATGAGAAATGGAGATGAGAGAAAAGGGGAAGATGAATGCTGCAGTGCAATTAGGTGGTTACATGAGAAATGGAGATGAGAGAAAAGTGGAAAGATGAATGCTGCAGTGCAATTAGGTGGTTACATGAGAAATGGAGATGAGAGAAAAAGTGGAAAGATGAATGCTGCAGTGCAATTAGGTGGTTACATGAGAAATGGAGATGAGAGAAAAAAAGGAAAGATGAATGCTGCAGTGCAATTAGGTGGTTACATGAGAAATGGAGATGAGAGAAAAAGTGGAATGAATGCTGCAGTGCAATTAGGTGGTTACATGAGAAATGGAGATGAGAGAAAAAGTGGAAAGATGAATGCTGCAGTGCAATTAGGTGGTTACATGAGAAATGGAGATGAGAGAAAAAGGTGGAAAAAGAAATGGATGTGGTATCGAATGCTTAAATGATCTGTATCTATTTCATCACATATATGCTTGTATATACACAGGGCAGTCTAGGAAAAAATTAAATAGATTGGGGCTGTCATTTTTTGTTGTCGCATAACTGATGAAGTTTAAAATGTTTCCATATTGGAGTCATCATCAGACATGTGTGACTTTGTGAACTGATATAGTTATTTTATCAGTTCTAGACATTCAGTTGAGTCAGCAGATGTTTTCTAATGGATGAGAAGATGAAGTCTCTATTAATGTGGTTATGGTCTACGTAGAAGGTATAAAATTTTCTATTGGAGTTGTTTACAATTTTCTGGAGTCATTTGATGCCATTGTTACACCCTTACCAAAATGAAAAACAAACTGGATGAGATTATTGACGAATTCTTCTGTTCACTTTAGCAGGTTGTGCTTTTCTTGATCTGGCGACTTTCTCAAAAGCAAATGCTGTTGTAAAAACTATCAACAACACAACATAGAGGTTGCCAAAGCTTACAATTATTCTGGTTTGATTTCTAGCTATGGAATCACTGAGTTTTCTCAATTATCAAGTACTACTTACCATGAAGTAGTTGTTAATGGACAGTCTTCCAAGGCCCATGAGATCAATGCAGGTGTTCCCCAAGGTTTGCTTCCTTATTATAATAATGATCTGCCTAAGAGCATACTCCGATCTCTTATGAATATCTATGCAGATGGTACAATAGTATATTAGGATACATCCAAAAATCTTGATGACCAAAGCCTGTCAACTGATCTCTCCTCTTTAATAACTCAAGGGAGAAAAAACTGGCTGATCACATTCAGTACCTCCAAAACCAAACCTGTAATGTTCCATCATCACCGAGCAGCCCCTAAATCTCCATCTATCACAATGAAGAGATGTTCTCCCAAGGAGGTACCTTGTCTTAAGCACCCTCAGTGGAAATTGTATACACAAGATACTGGAAAAATAGTCAGTTCTCTGTACCACTCCAGTAAGTACCTAACTCCTCCAGCTATGCTCTGCAAGAGGCTGATCAGGCCAAAAATGGAGTCCTGCTGCAATATCTGGGCTGTTGCTACTCAGTTTTGATAGTCCAAAAGCATCTACATACTTGTGGGTGAATTGTTTTCCACCTTACAACCCCCTTTCCCCACAGATGAAATGTTACCTCTTGCTACTCTACTACTAATGTAGCTCAGTTGTATATTTTCCATGTAAATAGTTACATAGAAAATGTTCAACTGAGCTACATTTCTTAGTTCTATGAACTTTAACCCTCTATGCCATGCTAAGTACATTGAGGCAAAC